AAATGGACATGCGGAGGGCAGAGGCAGGGATGGGAGGAGGAAGGAGGGCGAGGAGGAAGGTGAGGACGCGGAGCGCTGTCTCCTCAAAACGAGAACCCAACTCCACAGGATACAGGATGGTTGGGACAAAAACGGTCTCCAACCCCCCATCCTTGGGCGGCGCGCTCAAGGGGGTAGGGGGAGCGGGGAAGGACGGAGGCTGCTTCTTCGAAGGCGCCGGCCTCACATCTATAGATAAGGTCCGCGCCTTCCAAGAAGCAACCTCCTTCTATTGGGTGTCCCAAAACCGTGTGGTGACAGACCCGGCGGCGACCTCGAAATCCGCAAAGACCTCACCGCATGGTCCGTCACCTCACGGTTTTGGGACCCTGGAGGCCTAAACCGCCCGAGACGTCCTCGGAAAGCGACCCCAGCCCCAAGACCGTGCGGTGACCCCGAACCCCCCCCCGACTCACCACACGGTGTGGTCACCACCCCGTTTGGGGGCCCCCGATTCTAAGAAGCCTCACCCCCGCCCACCTCCCCCCTCTGCGCGTGGCCGGATCCTCCACCTCATTCACTACTAAGAAGCCTCACCCCCTCAGAAGCAATCTCCTTCCAAGAAGCAACCCCCTTCTGAGAAGCAACCTCCTTCCAAGAAGCAACCTCCTTCCAAGAAGCCTCACCCCCGCCCACCTCCCCCCTCTGCGCATGGCCGGATCCTCCCCCTCAGTCACTACTCGCTTCGCCCTCGCTGGCGCGGACCGCGCGCCCCTGCCCCGCAGGTGCCCGAGCAGGCAGGACCAGAGCCGAGCCCGGTGCCGCTCCGCTCTTGGGGCGACGCGACGCTCCGAGGCGCTCTGCGATCCTTTCCCTCCTCCTCCTCCTCCTCCTCCTCCTCTTTCTCCTCCTCCTCCTCCTCCTCCACCGCCATCAGAGCCAGCAGAACCAATCAAGTCCGAAGCCCCACGGTGCGCAGCAGCGTCGCAAAGAAAACATCCTGGAATAGGACCCAACCATCTGCAGTTGTGAGTGCCGTCATTGCGGGTCTCGCTTTCAGGGAATCTCCTCATGGGGCCATGAAGCATGCGAAGGGCGTGCCGATATGGGAGAGGGGCTGCCATGTGGGCGCTGTCACTGGGGCTTTAGGCGGAATCCACGACGGGGCCGCGAAACGTGTGAGAGGGGTGCGCCGCAATGGAGCGGGGCCGCCACTGGGGCCTTTGGTGGAGCTCCCTATGGGGCCACGAAACGCTGTACTGGGTGGGGAACGAATGCGGACACCGCCACTGGGGCCTTCGGTGGAGCTCCCTATGGGGCCACGGAACGCTGTACTGGGTGGGGGAAGCGCGTGCGAACACCGCCACTGGGGCCTTCGGTGGAGCTCCCTATGGGGCCACGGAGCGCTGTACTGGGTGGGGGAAGCGCATGCGGACATCGCCGCTGGGGCCTCCGGTGGAGCTCCCTACGGGGCCACGAACTCTATACTGGGTGTGGATCCCGCACGCGAAGGTTGCCACTGGGGCCTTCGGTGGAGCAGCTCCCTGTGGGGACACGAAACGCTGTGCTGGGTCGGGGAAGCCCATGCGAACACCGCCACTGTGGCCCTCGGTGGAGCTCCCCTATGGGGCCACAGAACGAACGCTGTACCTGGTGGGAGGGACGCATGTGGAAGGTGCACGAATCGCTAGGCTGGGTGGGGGAAACGTGCGAACTTTGCCGCTGGGGCCTTCAGTGGAGCTCCCTATGGAACCACGAAACGTGTGAGGGATATGCCGAAATGAGCGGTTGTTTGGGTCACCCAAAAGGGGGTCCAGCTGAGAGGGGGTGGTGCAATAAATGTGGGGCAATTGTTTTGCAAATGAATTGCGCTGGAGAATTGTATTGCATTGTATTGCATGTAATGTATTGCGAGCGGAAACCCAGCAATACATTTGCGGCCCAGAATGTACTGCACGTCCCAAATGTATAACAACTCCACAAATCTATTGCACCAAATCTATTGCACCACCCCCTTGTCGCCGGAGCCCCTTTTGGGTCGACCCGAGGTTGGGACGCCTGCGGGCGGCGCCACTGGGGCCTCTGTCCCTTCAAAACAAGGACCCAACACGACAAAATGATTTCGAAACAAATGACTCTCTACTCCTGTGGACCCCAGCCCGCGGATGACGACCAACTTATCCTGAACGATTCCTTCTGCGACGAGATCATCCGGAAGAACGTCCTTCCAGACGTTCTCGTCCGGATAGTCCGGATCAACTCCTCCCAAAGAACTTGTCTGCTTATGATCTCGTCTCTGGATGACCTCGTTCTCGGATGAATTCAATTCGTCTTCGGATTATCTCGCCGAGGAGAAGTTGCCCGGACGAACTCGCCCAGACTAGCTCGCCTCGGATGAACTCTTCCGGATGAGACGGCTTCTCCAGACCCCCGACGACATGATTGTTTCATAACGTGGACCCCCAGTCTCGAGCCATTCCCCAGAACCAGTCTTTCATCCTGAGTCGTTATTTGACGGTGTCGAGGACCTGCAAGGCCCCCCAGAGGCCGAAAACAGACAATTATCCTGGCGAAGGACCCAACCATATGCAATTTTGAGTAACGCAATTGCGTCCTCGGTGATGCTCTCTATGGGGCCACGGCGCTTTTGACGGGTGTGCCAAAATGGATGCGGGTAAGCCATGCAGGCGCTGCCACTGGGGCCTTCGGTCGAAACGTGTGAGGGGTGTGCTGAAATGGGATGGTGGAGCTGCATGCGGGCGCTGCCGCTGGAGCCTTCGGTGGAGTTCCACGTAGGGCCACGAAGCGTGTGAGGGGTGCGCCGAAACTGAGAGTGGGACAGCACGCGGGCGCTGGCACTGGTGCCTTCGGTGGAGCCCCCTATTGAGCCACGAGACGTGTGAGCGGCGCACCGGCATGAGGGGCAGAACCACGTGCGGGTGCTGCCACTACGGCCTTCGGGGGAGCTCCCTATGGTGCCACGAAACGTGTGAGGAGCGCGCCGGAATGGTGGTGGGTGGACCCGCATGCAGGCGCTGGCACTGGTGCCTTCGGTGGAGCTCCATATGGGTCCACGAAACGTGTGAAGGGTTGCCGAAAACGAAAGTGGAACCGCATGCAGGAGCTCCCACTGGGGGCCGTCGGTGGAACCCCTAGGGGGGCTACGAAACGTGAGGGATGATGCGCCGGAATGCGGTGTGGAACCACATGCAGGCGCTGCCTTTGGTGCCTTCGATGGAGCTCCCGAGGGGCCCGCGAAACGAGAGGGGGGTGTGCCGAACTGGAGCGAGGGGACGCATATGGACCCCACCACTGCGGCGTTCAGTGGAGCTCCCTCTGGGGCCACGGAGCGTGAGGAGTGTGCCGACATGGTGCGGACCCTGCCACTGGGGCCCTCGGTGGGGCCCCCTGCGGGGCCACGAGGCGTGCGAGGGGTGTGCCGGAGCGGGGCGGGAGGGTGCATTCTGGACCCTGCCGCCGGGGCCTCCGCTGGAGCTCCACACGGAGCACGAAGCGCAGGAGGGGTCTGCCGAACTGGAGGGAGGAGGGAGGAGGGAGGAGGGAGGAGGGAGGAGGGAGGAGGGAGGAGGGAGGAGGGAGGAGGGGGGGGGGGGGGCACATGCGGACCCTCCTGCTGTGGCCCTCGGTGGAGCTCCCCGTGGGCCCAGGAGGCGCGCGGGGAGTGCCGAGGCGAGGCGGGGGGGAGGAGGGCGCAGGCGGGCCCTCCAGCCGGGGCCTGCGGCGGAGGTCCACAGGGAGCCGCGGAGCCCGTGAGGGGAGCGCTATTTCTCCTCCTTCATCCTCCCTCCTCCCTCTACCCCACCTCCTCCTCCTCCTCCTCCTCCTCCTCCTCGTCCTCCTCCACTTTATCCTCCTCCTCCTCGTCCTCCTCCTCCTCCTCCTCCTCCTCTTCCTCCTCCTCCTCCGAGGAATCCTGGGCGGGGGGGCGCACGTGGACCCTCCCGCCGGGGCTGTCGGTGAGCTCCCTATTGGGGCCACGACACGTGCGAGGGGTGTGCCCACACGGGGCGGGGGGACGCAGGTGGACCCTGCCATTGTGGCCTTGGGTGGGGCTCCCTGAATGGCCACGGAAACCTGTAAGGGATCTGTCGAAACCAGGCGGGGGGACGCACGTGGACCCTCCCACTGGGGCATTCGGTGGAGCTCCTTGATGGGGCCAGGAAGCGTGCGAGGGGTGTGCCGAACCAGAGACACGCGGAGGGCAGAGGCGAGAGATGAGAGGAGGACGGCGAGTAGTAGTAGTAGTAGTAGTAGTAGTAGTAGTAGTAGTAGTAGTAGTAGTAGTAGTAGTAGTAGTAGTAGTAGTAGTAGTAGTAGTAGTAGTAGTAGTAGTAGTAGTAGTAGTAGTAGTAGTAGTAGTAGTAGTAGTAGTAGTAGTAGTAGTAGTAGTAGTAGTAGTAGTAGTAGTAGTAGTAGTAGTAGTAGTAGTAGTAGTAGTAGTAGTAGTAGTAGTAGTAGTAGTAGATAGGAGGAGGAGGAGGAGGAGGAGGAGGAGGAGGAGGAGGAGGAGGAGGAGGAGGAGGAGGAGGAGGGGGAGGGGGAGGGGGAGAGGAGGAGGAGGAGGTGGACGGTGAGGAGGAGAAGGCGGAAGAAGAGGAAGGAAGAAACGAGGCGCGCGGCGTTCTCTAGAAAACAAAGACCCAACACCACAGGATTCGGGGATCACCCCGGTCAATCCAAACCCGGGTCAGCAGGAAACCAAACAACTGAAATGCAGGAACAACAAAAACTGCAACGCTGAACTTCGCAAACCAGGGTCAGCCAATATGCGCGGCCGCCTCGCGGCCACGAGCGGCTCGCTAACCCGGGTCAGCCAAAGGGGGTCTTCGCAGGATCCTGCAGGATCCGGTGCCCTGGCTGACCCCCGTTTGCATTGACCCCCGTCTCTTGAGCCCCGAAGGATGGTTGGGAAACACTTTCTGGCCTCATGTTTTCACGACGCGAAAGGTTTGGGTCGGATGAAATTGTAGACTGCCCGTAGCCGCGGCCCCTCTGCGCACTCCGGCGGGTACGGCTTCGAGTCCTCGGGGGTGCCGGGCGGGTGCGCGGCGCGGGATGTCCCGCGGATGTCATGGCCTTCTGTCTCGCGGCCAAGTGGCCGGGAGGCTGGGGGGGGCGAAGGAGCGACGAGGCCGCCCTAGGCTTTTGTCCCGCGGCCAGGTGGCCTCCTCCTCCTCTCTCTTTCTCCTCCTCCTCCCCAGCGCAGCCTTTGCCTGCGTTTTTTCTCGCACAGGCGTTCGCCTAAGGCGGCGTCTGTGTGATCGGCCGCGGTGGTGGTTTAAGCTCCGTTCCCCGCCGCGTACTGCGTCCCTCTGGGCACAACATTGGGAAAGGGGCAAGGGCGGAAGGAGGGCGGGAGAGACGGAAGGGGGAGAATGGGAGGAGGGGAAAATGAGAAAGGGAGGGTGGGAGGGAGGAGGAGGGAGGGCGGGAGCCGGGAGGGAGGGGAGAGAGGGATGGTGGAGAGAGAGAGGTGGGAGAGTGAGGGCGGGGAGTCGAGCAGCCGCGCGTGCAGTTACAAACTACCAGGTACCACATTCAGAGTTTTCGGAGCGCGTCTGTGCAGCCAGTGTGTGGCGAAGCGGATGGGTTGTGAAAGATATTAACCCTTCGTGGGCACATCCGCCTGGACCTCCCTGGGGGTGGAGGCAGGCGGCAGGTAGAAAGGAGGGGGGCGGGAGGGATGAGATGGAAACGAACAAAGAGGGATGACCACCACCACCACCACTGAGCCGAGCGTCCGGAGGGACGCGTGGGCAGAAGAGTGCGCGATCGGCAACTCTTCAGAAAAATATGACTGAAAAGAGGGATGACGCATGGCAGAAAACGGAAGGGGAATGAGGTCGGACGACGGGGAAGCGTTTATGGGAAACTACCGGTCGTCCTGGAGCCGTCTTGGGAGACAGTCTGAAAGGATCTTGGATCTGTCTCGAACAAATTTATGGGGCCGCCTTGGGGCGGTCTTGAATCGCCTTGGAACCGCCTCGGATCGGTAATTGGGCGCTACAAGAGCATCAAGTCCCGGACCGCTGGAGCGCCGTCCAGGGCAGTCGGTATAGGCCGTCCGGCGCCCCACTGCGGGCCACTCGGAAACGCACCAGAGCCTGTTTTTTTTTAGACTCTGGCAAGTTTACTTGCATGGACGGGGGGTGGGGGGGGCTGAGCCTGAAGCAAGCCCGGGGGGGGGGGGGCGCGGAAATCACGCAAGTCGAAAGGCACTTGCACGCTAGTATTCGCTTGAAGAGGGGCGAGGGGGGGGGGGGGGGCGAACGCCATGCAAGTAAACTTGCCTGAATCCAAATTAGCCGGGCGAAGGACCCAACCATATGCAGCTGTGGGCATCGCATTCGGGGGGGGGCCGCATGGGACCACGAAGCGCTGCACTGGGCGAGGGGGACGCATGCGAACTGCGCCACTGGGACCTTCGGTGGAGCTCTCTATGGGGCCACGAAACGCTGTACTGGGCGGGGGGGACGCATGCGAACTGCGCCACTGGGACCTTCGGTGGAGCTCCCTAGGGGCCACGAAACGCTGTACTGGGTGGGGGGGGACGCATGCGAACTGCGCCACTGGGACCTCCGGGGGAGCTCCCTATGGGGCTACGAAGCGCTGCCCTGTGTGCGGGGGGGGGGGGAGGGCGCATGCGAACTGCGCCGGGGGGCCTTCGGTGGAGCTACCCATGGGGCCACGAAACGCAGCCCTGGGTGAGGGAACCGCATGCGGGCTGTGCCACTGGGACCTTCGGTGGAGCTCCCTATGGGGCTACGAAACGCTGCCCTGGGCGGGGAACCGCATGCGGGCTGTGCCACTGGGACCTTCGGTGGAGCTCCCTATGGGGCTACGAAACGCTGCCCTGGGTGGGGGAACCGCATGCGGGCTGTGCCACTGGGACCCTCGGTGGAGCTCCCTATGGGGCTACGAAGTGCTGCCCTGGGTGGGGGAACCGCATGCGGGCTGTGCCACTGGGACCTCGGTGGAGCTCCCTATGGGGCCACAAAACGCTGCCCTGGGTGGGGGAACCGCATGCGGGCTGTGCCACTGGGACCTTCGGTGGAGCTCCCTATGGGGCTACGAAACGCTGCCCTGGGTGGGGGAACCGCATGCGGGCTGTGCCACTGGGACCTTCGGTGGAGCTCCCTATGGGGCTACGAAACGTGTGAGGGGTGTGCCGAGAGCAGAGGCAAGGAGGGGGAGGAGGAAGGAGGGCGAGGAGGGGGAGGAGGAGGAGAGGAGGTGGGACGCGGGGCGCTGTCTCTTCAAAACGAGGACCCAACACCACAGGATGGTTGGGAAAAAAAAAACAGGCTCCCAGAGCCCCCTCCGTTTTTCCGGTCTCCTCCGTCGGGTCCGCTCCCGGGGCCCCCCCCGAGGGCCCGAGGGGGCCCCGCAGCCCCGTGGGCGCCTCCTCGGCCCCCTCCTGCGGGGGGCGGTGCCCGCAGCGCCCGCCCGCGGCGCCCTCCGCTGCGACGCCCGCGAGGCGGGCCCGCACCGGAGCCCGGGGGGCAGAGGCCCAGGCCCCCGCGCGGAGCGGGGTCGGTCTGCAGCGCCCCGAGGAGACGGCGCGTGGCATCGAGCACGAGCACTATTCACGCGGAGGCTCACGTTGTTCCCGTCCTGGTTAAGGGCCGCATCCCAGAGATCATTTCGAGCACCCGGAAAAGTGTCAAAAGAGTGTCGACACGGTGTCGAAACAGTGTCGGGCGAGTGTCTCCCAGGGCCCGAAACGTGGAAATCCTCGAGCTTCGGCACTTTTTTTCTGGCGCTCGAAATACTTTCCGGTGATCAAGGCTAAAGTAGGTTGGAACATCATAAACGTAGGCTGTGGCGGGTTGGAGGCCTAGAGGTTGGCACCAAAACCAAGATCGGCGGTTGCCTCCACCGAAGGAGGACGGTCCCGATCCTGACGGTGGTGGTCATGTTCGGGATTCCTTGGCGGCGACAGGGCTGAATCTGAACGGTGTTGTTCGTTCTCGTCTTGTTGTTTGTTCTTCCTCGTTTTGCCTTCGCTTCGCCTTTAATACAACACAAAACGAAAAACAAACCGGCCCACGAGATGGCCAAAACACCGTTTGGATCTAGCCCTGGTCCTTGCCTTCAGAGCGGCCAGCCTGGTCTCGCATGGGGCCCTGGGCTCGGGCACCGAGGTTCCCTTTGCCGCCGCCGGCTCTAGGGCGGTCGGTCGCGCGCTCGCCCGGCCGCCCGCCCTGCCTCTGGGCCACTGCTTGCGCGCGGCAGCAACGCGGGGCGCTCGATGGCCGTTCTGCGGCAAAGCGAAGGGGTTCCTCCGGTCTGCACTGGTTGCGTCAGCGGCCCGAGAGACAGCGTGACCGTCTGGGAGGGAGCTGGAGAAGGGCAAGAGGGGGGAAGGTGGGAGGAAGAGGGGAGCAGTAGCGGCAGCAGGAGCAAGAAGGAGACATGGGAAGAGTGAGCGGGAGGAGGGGCAGCGGCGGTAGGAGGAGGAGGAGGAGGAGGAGGAGGAGGAGGAGGAGGACGAGAAATAACAACCATAATACGCATAACAACAAACTAACGAGGAACAAACGGGTGCAGGCGGACGCGCGGGAAGAGTGCGGTCCTCGTTCCCGAACTCCGCCTCGTCGTAGAAGCAGGTCCGCAGCTTCTGCAGGGTGTCGGCAGGATCGGGGCGAGATGGCCCCGGCACCTGAAGCGGAGACGGAGGAGCAGCAGCAACAGGAAGAGTGGGTGGGGGCCAGAGGAGTGGAAAACCCCAGGCAGAGGGGGGGGGCAGAGGTGTCTTCCTTTCTATTCTCATCCTCTCCCCCCCTCCTCCTCCTCCTCCTCCTCCTCCTCCTCCTCCTCCTCCTCCTCCTCCGCAATATGGTTCCTCCTCTCCTCCTCCGCCTCCGCCTCCGCCTCCTCCTCCTCTTCCTCCTCCTCCTCCTTATGCTCTGCCTCGGGGCCTTCGAGAGAAATCCTCCTCCTCCTCCTCCTCCTTTTCTTATTCTTATTCTTCTTCTTTACTATTAATATTATTATTCGTCTTTTTTTGATATTATTATTATTATCATAATTCGTAAAATTAGTAGTTGTATGATTATTATTGGTACTATTATTATTATTATCAGTATTAATAACATTAGCATTATTATTACGACTATTATTATTGTTATTATGATTATTTGTATTATCATCATCATCATTATTATTATTACTAATGGTATTATTGTTATTATTATTATTAATCATATTATTATTTATAGTATTTCTACTACTATTATTAATATTATTACTATTATTACGATTAGTATTATTATTACTATTAGTATTATTATCATTATTCTTAACATTACGATCATTAGTATTATTATTATTATTAACCTCATGCCCGTGAGAATAAACACTAGGGGAAAATAAAGTTCGGGGTTCAGGGAAAGATAATAAAAGTAGCCCAGCAGACCTCAGCATAATCTCGAAGTAAGAGATGATCTAGAGGAGACCAAGCCGAGCACGTTTTGAGACATCCTTGGCGTTTAGTTTTCGTAGAAATATCCGCAACAATGGCTTACATCTCATGAAAATTGTTTGTTTTGTAAGTGCTCGTGTAGGGTAGCTCATGTGCCTCAATTTCCATGGATAATCAACCCCAGAGATAAAAAAGTTCAGGCGAGCGTGGGGACAGAGAGAAATATAAAAAAAGAAGAATTCAGTAGAATAATAATAAGAAAAACGAAGAAGAGGATAATAAGAAGAGGACGAAGAAGGGAAAAATCCAAAGTTCCAAATCTATCTTCATTTACAAACGCTTTATGAACATTGATTTTTTAAAGTGCTCGTGTAGGGTAGCTCATGTGTTTCATTTTCCATGGATAATCAACCCCAGGGATAAAAAAAGTTCAGGCGAGCGTGAGGACATATAGAAATATGAAAGAAGAAGAGGAAAGTATACTAATAATAAGAACATTGCTCGTTTCGTTTGAGTATGCCTCCCAAAATTATTGGTTTCGCTTGACACATCCTGAAAAAGTGTGACCGCTTCGCTTGATGTTGCTATATCAACATCGTTTGATGTTGTTATCTCAACATAGCGTTTCGAGGTGATAATGAAGTTCGGCCTCAGCGCTCGCCGCCCAATTTGAATTTTGTATAGGGCGACGATAATCAACTCTAAACACTGAAGGGGGGGGGTCCTTTTATTATCATCGGCATGCGGTTATTAGTATTATTAGTATTATTATTATTATGATTATTATTATTATTGTTATTCGTCCTCCTCCTCCTCCTCCTCCCTCCTCCTCCCTCCTCCTCACCTTTCCTCCTCCTCCTCCTCCTCCTCCTCCTCCTCCTTCCCCTTCTCGTCGTCGTCGTCCTCCTCCTCCTCCTCATCCTCCTCGTCCCTCCTCCTCCTCCTCCTCCTCCTCCTCCTCTTCCTTCTCCCCTTTTGTTCGTGACTCCTCAAAGCGTCGCTTGACCCTGGGCGGGGAGGAAGAAAAAACGCGGGGGGGAAGTGGGGAAGGGAGGGTGATGGTGGCATGGCGCGTGGAGGGGCGCTGGGGGGGGGGGGGGGGGGGGGGGGGAGGGGGGGAGAGGATTTTTTTCCACCCTCTGGGGCAGCCAGCGCTGGCCCCGCGCGCTTTTTCGGAGCGGCACGCGCGGGGCGGCCAGCCGAACCCCGAACCCCATTTTCTGGGTCACCTCGCGTTGAGCATCGCACCCCGCGACGCGCGACGCACTGCTGCATCTGCGCCCTCGCGCCGCCGCGCTGGAGAAGAGCGCCTCGCCTGCCCGGGAGGCGGCGCGCGAAGCGCGATCGCACTGCTGTCGCAGGTATCCTGGGCACGCCCGCGGCTGCGCATGCAGGAAATGAATCTCAGGGTCGATTCGATGCCAGCCCGCCAGTAAGAGGAGGAAGAGGAGGAGGAGGAGGCGGAGGAGGAGGAGGAAGAGGAGGAGGAGGAGGAGGAGGAGGAAAACGAGAGGAGGAGGAGGAGGAGGAGGAGGAGGAGGAGGAGGAGGAGGAGGAGGAGGAGGAAGGGGGGGAGGAGGAGGAGGGGGGGGGAGGAGCGGGAGGAGGAGGAGGAGGGAGGAGGAAGGAGGAGGAGGAGGAGGAGGAGGAGGAGAGGGCGAGGAGGAGGAGGAAGAGGAGGAGGGGGAGGAGGAGGAGGAGGAGGAGGAGGAGGAAGAGGAGGAGGAGGAGGAGGAGGAGGAGGAAGAGGAGGAGGAGGAAGAGGTGAGGGGAGGAGGAGGAGGCGGATGGGGGAGGAGGAGGAGGAGGAAAAAGGAGGAGGTGGAGGAGGAGGAGGAGGAGGAAGAGGAAGAGGAGCAGGATTATGCTGGATACTGCTGGCCTGACGTCCGAAGATGCGAAACACGCACGACGGCGGCGAAAACGAGCCTGCCGCCTACCCCCAGGCCTGTCCTGGGCGACACGGCGGAGACTCCTGAAGCGCACGCGGCCGAAACATTAACCACCGCGTGACTAACGGCGGCGGCGCGCTCCGCGCGCCGCCGCAGGTCCCGTGGCCTCGCCCCGGCGGGGGGGTGAACCGCCATGGGAGCTGTGAGCCCCGGGGGGGGGGGGGAGGAGACGAGAGGGGGAGGCGACGAGGAGAACGAAGAGAGGAGGAGGGGAGGGGCACAGTCCCACAGCAGCCTACCCCCCTCCCCCGGGGGAGGCGCGAGCCCTCCCGCCTCCGCCAGTCCTGCGGCCCGGTCCCCGGCTCTACTTATACCCCGCCGATCCAGGCGGCGCCGGCCGCCCCGCTTGCTCCGCCAGTGGGGGGTGCCCCGGCTGTCCCCGAGTCGACGACGGGGCCCCTGCTATCCAACCGGGGGGTGGGCAGGAGGAGCAGGAGGAGGAGGAGCAGGAGGAGGAGGAATGAATGAATGAATGAATGAATGAATGAATGAATGAATGAATGAATGCACTTCATGGCCCATGTGTCTCTGAACAAATCGACTGTGATCTACAGCGCGCGCTAGTGAATCGAACGGACGAAGGCGTGCTTAAAATCGACTGGAGTTCGGCCTAATCGACGATATATCTACAAGGCCAACGAAACCACCGACCCGACACTCCGAACTTCCTACGCGGCCCATGGAGCCCAGGAGGCCAGGGCAGGGCAGGGACACCGCCTCGTGTCCCAGCCTGCTCGGGCACAAGGGTGAGGACGCCGCCCTCGCTGCACCCGACTGGGGGCGTGACCGCAAAGGCCCCCGCCTCCCAGACGAGACGCAACGATGGCACCGCCATCACCCTCGAGGGCGATACTGTCGACCACGCGCGTTTTGCACGCGAGCGAACCAATCGATATACACTACTTCTCGCTGAGGACTGAGGAGGGCGAGGAGGGGGGGGGGGGGGGCAGGTGCAGCGGCAAAAGGGGCGGCCTCAACTACGCGCTGAGAACGCTCAGCTGCATCCAATAGAAGTCGACGAGATCCAGTCGACGCACGCGCAGTCATTGATGGTCTCCCTCCAGCAGACAATGAGCCCGAAGTAACTGCCAAAGAATGTGACCCAACATTCAAGGACAAGCTCGAAGGTACTGCCACATATTTTGACCCATCATTCAAAACTGAGCTCGAAGATGCCGGCGCAGCAGGGGCCCCCGCCAAAGGCGCAGGGCTCTGCTAGGCAGCCCAGACATTAAGGCATTGCACACCGATGGCAGGGGCTGTGTCGATCTCCCCGCAGATGAGGAGCTCACCGATGCCGCTCTTCGCGGGCACGACTCTCGCCCAACTCCTCGAGCACCTGCTGCGCCCGACGCGCGAGGTCCGGAGATGGCGCCATCCCGTGCTTCATCGCCCAGCCCTGCGTGCCAAAAAGCGTCTTCGCGCGCTCCCATGCTGGCCATGCCACGGCCTGGCGATGGACCTTGATCTCCAACTTCGCGCAGTCCCGCGCGTAGGTTTTCTTCGCGCGGCAGCAAGGGATGTCTTTCTGAAGGGCCTGGTGCAGCGCCTGCATGCCCATGCTCTCTTCGATCTGCTGGCGGTGTGGTGTAGCGCTCGAAGTCGCCCTTCGCCCGAGCGTTGATCTGCGCTGCCTGAGTCTCTGCCTTGTTCATGATGGCCAGGAAGATCGACGTGTGAGGCAAGCCCGACTGATGCTCCCGATCCTCTGTCGCGATGCCGGCCGCCTTCTGAGCGCGCCCGCCCTGCTTCCAAACCGGCCCGCGCCATCTCGATCGCCAGCGGGCAAACGCGCACCTCCAAGTCCGACGCCGCTCGAGCTACTCGCGCCTGGTACTCTGCTGCCCACCCCAACATCGCAGTGAGCACCATCATCTCTTTGATAGCTTTCAGGTTGTCTCCGATGGCCTCCGCGAGGGCCTGTCCGAGAGGCCCCTCTCGAAGCTGCCGCTGCGCGGGGGGGGGGGGGGCCGGGCCGAGGTCGAGCGGCGTGGCCTCTGGATCCTCTAGCTGGCAAGTGCCCGAATCTGGCGACCAACTCTGGGGGGGTCTCGAGCCCTGAACGAGCGGCGGATAAGTGAATATGTAGTGGGCCGTGTACATGTGACCGAACATGAATGTGGTACATAGCCAGTGAAGTGAAGTTCTGCTCGCATAATGGACATGCAATGTCGACCTCGCCTGGTGCATGTTGCGGCGTGATGGCGTGATCGGTAAGACATCGATTCTGTCAAAATGCATGTCGCGCAAGAGTTTTCGCAATCGCGACTGCTGAAGACCGAGGAA